ACGAAATGATAAACATGGCTATCAGATACTTAAAATAAAATGATCAACTTTTTACCAAAATTGGATTTATTAATTTTGTCAATTTTATACCATAAATTAATTAAGTAATTTCTAAAAGTCATTTCTACATTTTGTCCAAAATATTTTTAGCGGCACATAAATATTATTTATATTTTTGTATTTCGTTATCTTGTCTACGAAGAAAAAGATAATCTTGAAACTCTACTATGCCAACAAAAAGATGTATAAAAAATAACATAAGTATTAATTTATTATGTTCTACTCAATTCAGGAAATATAATATAGATATAAAGATTAACGATTAATTCTCTATAATTTGCTCAATCAAGTCTATATATATAAACTAAGGATTTTGAAAGTTTCTATAATACCCACATATTTGTTTTCATAAAACTAAAGCATCCTAAATTTAAATTCAACTAATAAAGGTAATAGCAGTAAATATTTGACTAAAAAGATTATATACATTAATTACATTGATTTTTATTAATTTACTATTTTTAGTCAATAATTAATGAAATTGACGAGAAAGTGTTTCTAAAAATGAATTATGTTAATCCTTAGTATATATTAATAGATATAGATTATGGCTTATGACTTAAGTGTACTAATTTTATTTATACACAAAAATTGTAAGATTGTCTAATAGTTACACAATCATATTGAGATTTTCTCATGCGCATATACACTATAAAATATCATAATTTTATTTATATTATAATTTATAATATGTCGTTTGAGAGTGAAAATATTTATTTTTGTTGGTATAATTAATTATAACTGCCTAACCATTAAGCAACCTAACGAAATAAATATCATATAGTTTTGAAATATGTATCACAATTTTTCATTTTTTTCCAATTAAATTTGAATATATATATATATATATTTTTTTGGTACAAAAGAAGGAGGCTATAAGCCTAGACTACTCTAAACTAAAACTCGGCATTCGTGAGAAACCCCTCGAAGATCATGATCGAGCCAAGCTCCGAGACTCGGGGGGTGAGTCGAAACCATGCTCAACCCTAGAGGAGACGAGGCGGCAAGACCCGCCATATGGTCGGCCGCAAAGTTAGCTTCTCGATGAACATGTCGGATCCGAATGTGCCATTCCCGTTGGACCAGGTCCCGGATAGCCCTAACTATAGCATCGTGTGCACCAAAATGCTGGTCGGACCCATTAATCATTTGAACAACGCATTGACTATCCACTTATGCGATAACTTTGCGAAATCCTAACTCCCAGGCCCTTTGTAAACCCTGAAAAATCCCCCAAAGTTCGGCGCCCGTTATAATGTTAAAACCAATATTCATGAGGAAGCCTTCGATCCATCTCCCTAACTCGTCACGAAGTAATCCTCCAGCCCCAGTGAGACCCGTCGTGGCATTATAAGTTCCATCCGTATTCACTTTAATCCAGCCCGGGTCGGGAGGAATCCAATGAATGAGGCGCACCTCATACATGGTAGCACCAACACGTTTATAGGCATTACACGCACGAGCATACGTCTCCATGTGACTCAGGACTTGGTTTCTTTTATTCGCCAGACTCAAGGTTCGGTTATTAAAAAGATGGTCATTCCTCCAGCGCCAAGAACTCCACGCAGTAAAAGCGAACAGTCTGCCCCAATCATCAAACGGAGCCAACGAAGCCATTTTAAGATTTCTCTGAAGCCACGGTCTAAGGGGAAGCAGGAAGAAATCCCCAAGCGTACCAGCAGGTATGAGCTGCTGCCACAGGTTCACCATATGTGTGCAGTCCCTTAGCACGTGCAGCACTGATTCCGCCTCTCCACAATCTTCACAAAGGGCCGACCCGGAGAGATGTCTCCGCACCCGATCCACATTGGTCAGAAGTCTATCATTCGCCGCCAACCACAAAAAGGTGCGGACTCGTTGCGGCGCTTGTGTTCGCCATATTGATTTCCAAAGCGGGGTATCCGAGGCTCGATCCGTTGGGTTTAAGGACTTATATGCCGTGCTAGTAGAAAAGAGCCCGTTCTGGGAGGGAGCCCACATAATACGGTCCGGGCCTGCCGTGGCTCGCGGTGGGAAAGTTCCGGCTATGTGCATAATAATGGTCGACGGGAGGATACCATGGAACGAATCCCACTTCCAGTTACCGACATCATCAATAAACTCAGCGACCTTAGCCTGGATGGTGCTCGCAGATGGAGGGCGAGACACAAGACTGATGAGCGGACCATGAGATCCCAGCCATGGATCAAGCCAAAACCTACAAGTTTCGCCATTTCCTAAGGACCAACGGACCTGCTTGACAATGTCCGGCCATATCTTGCATAAGGCTTTAAACAACGGCGACCCATGTCTACAGTGAGGATTACCCGCGGTGCTCGAAAGTGCTGTGTTATACTTAGCGAACATGAGGCGTGTCCATAAAGCATCCTTTTTCGTAAGAATTCCCCACCCGAGCTTCATCAAAAAGCATTGTTCATGTGGCTCAAATTTTTAATGCCTAGTCCTCCCACATCTTTGGGTCGACAAACGTTCTGCCAAGCAACCAGATGGATCTTTCTCTTCACTTCCGAGCCACCCCAAACGAACGAGCGACTTCGGCATTCTAGACCATCGGTTAGTGATTTGGGTAGTAAAGCGGACTGCATGGAGTAGTACGGGAGCGAGGTAAGCACGGTCTGGGTAAGGGTCACTCGGCCCGCCAAAGAAAGGGTTTTCATCCGCCACCCGTTAAGTCTCGTTTCCACCTTATCCAATATATGTGCATAGGTGGATTTATTAACACGTCCATGCAGAACGGGTACACCTAAGTATCTCCCCAAGTTGTCCGTCCACTTGAATTCGAGAATGTCCGCCAGACGGTGTTGCTCATTAAGCGCCACGTTCTTTGAGAAAAAGACATGAGTCTTAGATGAGCTCACTTTAAGCCCCGAAGAGCGGCAAAAGAGATCAAGGGTCCGCTTAAGAACTCCAGCTTGAGTCGCTGAAGCCTCTACGAAAAGGAGAAGATCATCCGCGAACATCAGGAAAGGGACTCTGACCGCTCCTCGTCCAACTGATATCGGTCTCCATACATTATCGTTGACCGCTTTCTCAATAAGTTGGGCGAGCCTCTCCATGCACAGAACGAAGAGATATGGAGACATGGGATCGCCCTGTCTTACCCCTCTGGTAGGATAGAACTCTTCTCCTACTGTCCCATTCCATAGTAAGTTCATTGATGCCGACCGAACACAAGCCATAATGGCCGTAATCATACAATCTGGGTATCCTGCTAGTCGAAGTGAATCCTCGATAAAGTCCCATTTAAGGTAGTCATAGGCCTTTTCGAGATCGACTTTGACCACCATGTAGCCCGTCGCTCCCTTCTTACGCCGCATGGAGTGAACCAGCTCTTGAGCGACGACAATATTATCAATGATGTGTCGGCCCGGTACAAAACTGACTTGTGCGGGATGGATGAGTCTCGGAAGGGTATCTTTCATACGATTCACCAAAATCTTCGTGAAGAGCTTGTATACAACGTTGAGTAAACTAATAGGTCGAAAGTGCCTAATCGAAGTTGAATTCTCGATCTTGGGAATCAATACAATAAGAGTGCGGTTAACCTCTAGCGGGACATCCCCGGTGCGCCACATATTGCGAATAAGCTCAAATACGGACGGGCCTACGGTGTCCCAGCTTTGTTTAAAGAAAAGAGCGTTCAGCCCGTCTAGCCCAGGGGCCTTCAAAGAGCCCATACTATGGAGAGCGGAGAGAACCTCCCCTTCCGAAATCGCTTCAGACATGGCTCTCACCGACTCTTCAGAACAAGCCGAGGAGAAAGTAAGCAGTGGCTCGATTGATTCAATTTCCCGGCTTTCCGTATAGATGGTCCTGAAGAAATCTGTGGCTAGTCGCTGAAGTAGGACCGGATCAGCCACAAGGTTCCCCCCATCATCCACAAGCTCCGAAATTCTTCCCCGCCGTCGGTGAACTTTAAGTTGTCGATGGTAGTATGAATTATTACGGTCCCCCAGATGCATCCAATCACGAGACGACTTTTGAATGAGGAGCAGCTCTTCTTGCACCAAAACATCGTCCAACTCCGCCCGTAGCTTCTTTTCCAAAGTCGCAAGGCGGTCTGAATGGTACAGTTGACGGCTACGTTGGATTCCACCTATCCGAGCTAGAAGCCTTTTCTTGCGTTGGAATATGTTACCAAAGACATCTAAATTCCAACTCTTAGCATCAGCCGCAAATTTCTTAGCCGCGTCAATAAAGCCAAAGGATGGAGACCACGCAGTATGGAGCATGTCGGTGAACCCCGGATGAAGAAGCCATGCCGCAAGGAACCGAAAAGGCTTGACTCCTTGCGGGGAAAGACTCGCGCGACAAAAACCCAACATGAGAGGCGAGTGGTCGGATTGAATTCTCGGAAGCATCCTGACGCGACTCGTCTCATATTTATCTATCCAAGAAAAATTAGCAACAAATCTATCTAGTTTCTCCATAACGCGCCCGGACGGCCCCTCTCGAACCCATGTGAAAAGATGGCCATCAGTAGCCACCTCTTGTATACTGTGCATAAAAACCCATTCTGCGAATTCCTTGCTAACGTTGCAATGGTTGGATGAACCTCCCAACTTTTCCGTACGATGAAGGAGGCAGTTGAAATCGCCACCGTTTAGCTTTTTCTTTTTAGATACATGCGTATCATGAAATTATCTCAATTAAATCTCTAATACATTTCTTGCATTAAAACCCATAATCTTGCATGTATTGTGTATTAATTGAGACAAGAAAGGGACAGTGTTTTTTCCTCCATTAGCTCTCTTGCATTTGCATCCATCTTCTTCCTTGAGAATTCGTCGATTTTGAGACCTACATTTCATTTTTTTTTATAAGAAAAGATTATATGAAATGCCAATCAGTAAATTAAATTCCATCTTAACAAAGTTTATCAATCTATGAATTTTTCATATTAATAAAAGTTTTAATTTGTTCCATACAAACACACGAACCTTGCACGATCGACCATTCTCCTTTGTCGCACGTCACAGGGAAAGAGTAAACGAGTCCATGTGGTATGCCATAAGATCCATCTGAACAAACTCCCATGGACACCCAAGTTCCCTAAACAAAAATGTGACCTTAGTATAAAAAATAAATAAGGAGAATTATGCTAATTCAGTGTCACACATAAAAAATATATAATACTATCAATTATAATGAAAATGTATGAGAAAATAGTTTAGATACCTTTAAAGTGTAGAAAAATTGAAACTAAATGAGTGAAAAGCATAGCATTAAGATTAATATAACCTTTGGAGTTCCTAAAACCCAATCATGTATGTGATCACAAGCAGAGCTAGCAGCAGAAAGAGCACTAGACGTCTTTCGAGCCTTGAGGATGGCCGAACCCCTCTGTTGCACTCTCTCGATGAATTCCGTCTTTAACCTAACACATTGTGTAGAACAACGAACACTTCATTAATAACAAATATTTTTTTTTAATGTATCGTTCGAGTTTTAATTGAGACACATTATTTTGTACCATTAATCATCATCTATGAGTTGTGATACGGGTTTTTCCCCAGTGCAGGTTGTGATGATGGCATGATTTGCGTCCGGAAACTGAGTGGATGAATGATTTCCCCACACAATCACATTCTTGACCTCACTCACGTGAACGTTCAACCTCTCGGAAATCTGGGCAAGAGCTCTATTATGATCGAGCCTCGTCAAGCAGGTGATGTTCTTCTCTGGGATTGTGGGAGCAAATGTTTTCAAAATGAGTGCATTTGTGTTGGCTGGGTTAGCCACCACCGAAACCTGCATAATTAACCGATGTGATGATCACTTTTTCATCACGAGAGAAAATATATATAGGACTTACTTTACAATCAGGGGAGGCGTGTCGGTCCAGAGCCAAGGCCTGAGCCTTGTAAATCGACGCGTTTTTTGACAACACTTCCTTCCTCTCCATACCTTCCTTGCGTCTAAAACCAGCCAAAAGAATCGCAATATCCACACCGTCACAAGGTTCAACGATATCACTCGTGGCAACAATGCCTAACGCATTCATATACATATCAAATCAGCCAAATTAATTTAAATATATGCATGGATCGGATACATAATTATTTACTAGACCTTGCCTCTAAGAAGGGGAAAAGCAGAATCAATTAGTTCCATTTTGAGTGCATTTAGTGGCTCGGCTGCTGGCTCGATATCGAGCATATGTATGATGACTGGTTGGTCAGGGCCAAACATTGCCCCTCTTGCTATCATGGGTACAAGGGCATATCCTATTTGGCCTGCAGCCCCTGTGACAAGTACTGTAAGGGGTTCTTTCTCTACATTCAAAAAGCTACATATATGTTTGACAATCTTCCATGACAAGTATGCACAGCCCAGCACAACAAGAGGTTTTTCTATCGACACCAAATCGTCCATTTAATTCGACAAAGGAACATAAATCAAGATAAAAACTACTGTTTTAATTTGCACCCAATTTGCAGATTTATATACCCAATCCAACTGAGATTTTTTTTTTTTTTATGGAAAACATGAAAAACCCAGATTTGGGATTGTTTGTTTAGGCAAGGCAGAGGGAGAACAAGACAAAATCTACAAGGCACATAATAGTATAACATCTCTTGTTCCCTAAGAAATGAACAATATATAATTGGTACAGTAATGCTCCCCTACTCACGGTGGGCACATGTTGATATGTCCACTGCTTATGCACATATTGGTAATGTATTTTTTTGAACATATTAACATCACCAATGTGTGCATGTCACATAAGCGTAGGCATATTAACATGTGCCACCGTGGGTAGGAGAGCATCAGGGGCGGAGCCACCCCAAAGGCTGGGGTGGGCTCCAGCCCAGTCTGGTTCCAAAAATTTTTTAAAAAAAATAAAAAAATTTAGCCCATTTTTTACATACTAGCCCAGGTCAAATATATTTAAGCTCATCTAGCCCAGTATGATTTTTCTTTCTGGCTACGCCCCTGGAGAGCATTATACATAACTGGTAATTGATCGAGGAACATCTTGATAGGAGAATACTTTTGGTTTGATGAAATTTTAGTAAGCTGGAATGCTGTTGCTTTTATTCAGAAATTGAAATAAAAATTATAGTGTTACATACACTGATTGGTATTCTGTCCATAAACTGAAGAAAAATCACTCTATTTACATTCACATGGGACTTTGGGAAGAACTCTAATAATTTGTAGCTCTTGTAAATAATATTATCACAAAATCACAATAATAGAAAAAAATTGCGAGTTTCATTTCTTGGAGTCCCTTTCTTTTAATTTATTGATTCATCCTTGAGTTCATAAATTGTTGGAATATCACTTGTGAGTTGTCCCACATTGATTCTATAGGGAAAATGAGCCTAGTATACAAGCCTAGGTGGACTACTCTTCCCATCACCAATAGGTTCTGGTATGGAACCTCACTAAGGTGTACCGAGTCTCACCATCTTATGGTGCGCTTCACCTGGTAGGACCTCATTCTCTTCCCCCGGTTCTAATATGGTATCAGAGCGGGTCCGTCGTAGGACCTGCAATGACTCTCTCTACCCGGCCTATTCTGAGCTTGGATTTATCTCTTTACCCGGCCTGCTATGTGGGCTTGGGCTTCCGAAGGACTCACAAGTGAGGGCATGTTGGAATATGACTTGTGAATTGTCCCGCGTTGATTTTATAGCGAAAATGAGTCTAGTATACACAAGCCTAATGGGCTACTCCTCCCATCACCAACTAGTTTTGGGATGGAATATCACTAAAGTGCATCTAGGCTCACCCTCTTATGGTGCGTTTCACCTGGTGTGACCGCACTCTTTTCTCCCGGTTCTAATATATATAGATATATGTCAATTGACAGGTAACTAACTAATAGAGACAAAAAGGAAAATGGAAGATGTACTAGCTATACAACTGAAATATGCTCTCCGGCAGTGACGGATCTAGAAATTTCACTCATGGGGACCAATTTCAAATTTTAAATAACGAGCTTAAAGTTTAAGTTGAAATGTTCATTTCATATAAAAATATATTTACTATAAATATAAATATAGATATGTGTACAATCAAATTATTAAAAATATAGAATCCGTATTACCCTCAAACTTTTTTTTTTCAAACGATAGGAGATTCTCATAGATAAAAAATAGAACAAAGTTCAGTACATAACCTCCGAGCCTACCAACGGGTAGAAAAGAAACTGAGAGACACTAACAAGCAGTGGTCTAGACATGACCCACCCGGGGGTATCAAGCAGGTACATGCACCTGAGCCTTGATAACTCCAATAAAACACAACACACCTATCTAACAGACAAACCCAAACCAACCTGTCAACACTAAACAAGCACACATACTAGCCACAGGACTAACCACAGCAACAGAAAACCAAAAACCAAAGAAAGAAAACAGAAGCAAGAAGGAAAAACAAAGGACTGAGAGCCCAAGTGTGCAACCCCTAGCAAGTAGCTGTTAGCCCAGGTCCCTGAACTCATTCCACTCTCTAATGGCTCTCTTTAAAATGATTGTCTCTGGCATTCTCTCTTTGCTAAACACATAGAGATTTCGAGATCGCCACAGTCACCAGAGGATGTAAGTCAACAGTTGAATCCTAGCCTCTGAAATTTCTGAGTTCTTGATGGCACAAACCTGCCACCACCAAGCTTTGAAGTTTATGCCCTGCAGATCAATCCCATCCCAAGTGACTGAAGCCAACTTCCAAACAATCTTGGCTTTCTAGCAATGTAAGAATAGATGTCCTATAGTTTTCTCAGTTTCTCCACACACTGAGCAGATAGCATAAACTTCAACCCCTTTTTTTTCCCAAATTCATACCAACTGGTAGGATACCAGTGTATCACTTCCAAATGAACTGTTTGATCCTACCTCTCACTTTCAGTTTCCAGCTTCTTTCCCTCACAAGTTTGTCATGTCTCTTAGAAATGCTGCTTTCTGCAATATCAAGAGTTTTCACCTTTTCTTTGATCAAGTGTGAGTAAGAATCAGCCACAGTGAATTCACCTTTTCTGTTCAATCCCCATTTCCACTTATCTTATCTATCTGTTGCAATGGTTTTAATATTGAGAATAGCTGCACTCACCTGTTGTGGAAAATAGGGATTGTACCAATTCAGTGTTCCAGTGTCTACCTGGGACCTCCAATAATTCAAAAACCCAAATAGGGTTAGTATCAGCTTCTGATAGGAAGGTAGGTGCAGAGACTCCACAATCAAGAATCCAGCCTCCATCAAGAATTTTGTTCTCTCTCTGATCTGACCTCGTTCCAGCAAAAAGCTTTGAAGGTTGGGAGAACTTTCAGCCATGTTGACCAAATCCAAGAAGCATACTCCTTTTTCACAGCCTGAAATATAGAAGTAGTAGGGAAATACAGTTGTAAGTATTTTTACAGAGTTAAATCAAAAGATTTATACACCGGGTCGTCTCTCAAGGAAGGTTGGCCGGATTAAATCGTGCGAATATTCTAACAAAAAAAAGAGAAATTAATTATAAACATTCTAATTCAATAGGTTAGGTTTCAATTATCAACTATGAAGTCTAAAACAATGCAAATAACAATTATCAATTCTGAAAATGAACTTCAAATGATGTTGAGGAAGTTAGGGAATCGGAGATACTCGTATATAGTTCTAATACTATTAATTCGTGCTTAACCGCTCGGTTAAGAGATCAAATAACATACTCGTTTAGAGGTTTGTTCTCAATAACGGTTCGTAACAAAAGAACAAACATAAACAATTTATTATCTAAACAATCAACGCATAGGCAATACATTAACGAACAAGCCTATTCTAGACGAGCCACGTTCAATCAATTTTTCCCCTTTCGGTTCTACAAATTGATTAATAAGATTAGAATGATGATCAAGCACCTAACCCTAGATTAATCACAACTCGAATAGATTGCACAGTAAGCAAGCATTCATGAATCTCAATCGAACCAACACGAATATCTCCTATCCCCAACAAACGATTTAGCCACTCATCGCAATTTTAACACCATAATACACATCAACCCAAGCACAAATCATCATAACAAAATGAGAAAAGATGCTTACGATTAATAAGAAATCCAAATGTTGAAAACGATGAGCAACCCAAATCCCTAAGCGAGAGTAGGAGTTTTTAAGCTCCAAATCCAATCCAAAAGTAAGATTCAAGAGAAAGATATGTTCTACCGTCAAGAAAAACCAAAAACATAAGTCTGGAATGATGAAATAATACCCTAAGCTCAATCCTATATATGCCCAATTCGAAAATCCATAAAAATCGCGGCTGTCACGAAATAGGGGTTAGCGGCGCTAAGAGGCTGGAGGACACCGAGCTTCTGGGGGTCGTTATGCTACGTACTGCCGCTGACTAAGCTGGGCTTAGCACCGCTATGGCCTGGGCTGCTCCAAAAAAACTACGTCTCGGGCCCGCGTGCTCTCGACTAGCATCCCTCGGATCTATCTCGAGCTAGAAACTTAATCCATGCATGTTTGGTGGTGTGAACCGGGATGAAACTCCTGGGAACCTGAACAACCTGAGAACACCAAAATCAGAAAAACACGAAAAACGAGAAAAATAGGAAGAAAACAAAGAAAATACTAAACACACCAAAATAAAGATAAAAAGAACTAGAAACGGCTAAACGGACCGGAAAATTCTAAGAAATGACCTAAAACAGAGAAAACGACACACAAAATACTGACGAAAATGACCACAAAAATGGGACAAACAACTCCCCCACACTAAGACCTTTGTTCGTCCCGAACAAAGAAAAGAAAAGAAAACAAACAAATGAGCAAGGACAATGGTTCAAGCAAGACTAATCTCAAACCAATCAATCAAGTCAAGAAAAATTCCAATGATCATAATAGCACACGTAAACTATTAACTTGGTTACTTCGAAAAACAAAGACTCTCGAGTACGAAAATATATCATATGCCTCACTCAGTCTCTTTCGTAAATATAAGATAGGTACGCTCAAGTTGGTCATCAATCAAATCAATCATAAGTTTGCCTATTGTCTAACCTTTACTCTAAAACAATCAAATACATGAAACAATGAATCAAGAGGACTTCTAGGGATAAAATGTAGGCTCTTTGGATCGGGTAGGATACATATAGATTAAGTGGCTTGATGAAAACGAATTCAACTCAATTTCATCACCCAACCATGATCACGGACTCTTCCGGTTTTCAAACACCAACCGGTCCAATCCCTACTAACTCCAAAACCAATACACTTCCCAAGAAATTATTCATTTTTTTTTTTAGGAAAACCTTTTGGACATTTTACCTAGGTTTAGCCTTCGGGTTTTCTGCCCGAGTCTCCTAGGCAGTTTCCAGTACTAATTGCTCGGTTCCATTAACATTAGTGGTCAAGCACTTGGAGTAGAATCCATTCGGCTTTCAT